ACTGAGACAATCGAGAATCTCTCGACTTGGCGAAGACGGACGCTCAGAATCAACTAGACAAGGGTCGAAAATATGGGATTAACATGATCCGGATTGCAGACTACAAACAGTCAACTATCAGTAGCAGCATTTGTGTTGTCAGCCATCGCTACGTAATGCTTCCTTACCTTGAAGTTAACTAACCCAAGTCAATTTAGAAATTGTATTGCCAATCCTCACCATTTTTTTCCACGAAGCAGTCAAGTTTGGATTAGTCTCCAGTGTTTGCAGTGATGCGGTTGGAGAAACACACCGTAAACCGTGTTAGGCATAGAGCTGCAGTACCGGCAGTTCGCTCCCCTTTGAATAGGCTCTCTGCCTCCCCCGAAAGGCATGATATGCTTACATTCCATGAACTCCTCAATTGCTCACTTTCCATCCTGAAATTGCATCCGACTTACTTCTCGTTTCTTTCATTCTGCTTGCTAAAACCAGATGGTGGATATTCACTTTTAAGACCCTTTGCCGAAAATTATAACCAAATTGGCGGAATTTGAATTTTTAGTTGATGAACTTGGGACTCAATTATCGCATCATTCACTTTATTTGCAAACATGAAATTGTTTCAAGTTCGACTTAGGTGCCTTTCCAGCAACATCTAGCTTAAATATAAAGCGAATCAGTTACAACGGTTGTTGTTCAGTATTCACTTTAAACTGCTTTTGTTTAAAAATAACTGCATTTAGGGAGTAAAATTAAGGCATTAATACTTTGTGTTAGAAGAGCAAGTGATAGACTTGACTTTAATGTGATGATTATTTGCAATAGTTTTAGTTACGACTGCAAAAATCGTTTGCATTCATCAATTTGAAGTGTCTATCGGTGTGCACATGAACAAGGAGGACGTAATTCTTCCGTCTCTTCCCAGAATTGCTGAGATAACTGTGTAATGCAGTGATGAGAGTCCAGAAGCTGGGCAACTGAACAGCACAAATGTGGACACTAATTGTGCCAACACTAATGCAAAATTGGTATCACCTTCAGCACGATCAGACGGGCGGGAACCAGCTCTTTGCCTCTGCCGTCTCGCTTCGTCCAATCGCTGATGCCGGTGTTCACGTGAATCCCTCCATCCGACGCGAGATTGTACGCAAGTTGGAGCGTGAAATGGACTTGCCCGCAAACCGCAAGGACTTCTTCTACTCTGCCAGTATGGTCCATGTCAATGAAGTATGTTAACATGTGGAATACCACTTAACCTTTTTCTAATAAAGACAAAAGGAGCGTAGACGGCGTCCATACTAGGAAGGTTCCCTTATCTATTGTAGTGTCTTGGACTTAGGCAGTCCGATGGTGCTATGATATTGCACAAGGCATCAAACACGTAGAATTCATGCCACTAAAGATGAAAGGGGTTTGGTGAACGATCAATTATAGAGCCAGATTGATGTTTTGCAGAAAAGGAAATTGGCAATCTTTTTACTTCTTCAAATCCCTGGATGTAGTACGTCTCCTCCTCGAATGTGAACGAGTACATACGCAGCGTGACGAAGATAGGCGAGGGCGAGACGGAGGCAGAGGGAACTGTGGCACATCCTTCCAATCACGTTGTCAAGATGCTTAGTGAACTCTTCGACTTCGCCTTGCTCCGCAGCCCCACCTTCCTTCTCCTCCTCGCATCCAGCGTCTTTGGTCTCCTTGGTGAGTCTGTCAGCTTGTTAAACCCTTTTCTTCATTTTTCCGCTTGGTATTTGTGACGACTCGTTGTGGGAAGAAAATAATTGCTGTGAGGGTAATAACTGGTGTAGGCCAACTTGGGATCAAAATAAGAGGCCTAGTACAACGCTAAATTGTGTCTTTTATTTAACCACACC